GATCCAGCAATCCCTTTACTCGGTATCTACCCACAAGGAAAAGATATACGCACACCAATGTTGATAGCAGCAGAAGACGTATGCACACCAATGTTGAAATAAGATCTGTGACACAAATATGTATATGCATACCCATATTCATTTTAGCACTATTCACAATTCCAAAAAGACAAAAACAACTTAAATGTTCATCAATGGAAGAACGGATATATAAAACCACCCAATGTCAAAGCAAAATGATGAATCTGTGAAATGCTTCATAACATGAATGAACCTGAAGGACATTAAACTGAGCAACATAACACAAATATTATATGAAACCAGTATCATAAGAAGTCAATAAAGTGTTTTCATACCAAAAGAAACATTCTTTAAAGGTTATCATCAGGAGTGGGAAGGTTAGAAAGGGTAAATCAGTAACTAAAGGAGCAGTGATTGATTGTGTGCCACCAGTTCCAATTCACAGTTACTCTGTATAGGGGTTCCGAGACTTAAAGCCTTAGAGGAGCAGAAAACCTCATCCTTCTCCTGTGAAGCAACTCACAGATTCTAACTACTGACTTTGTAGTTAGCAGCCCAGCTCGTAATCCACTACATTAGCAGGGCCCCAGACACAAAGGCAAAAATCCTACTTTGGTGAGTAGCAACTGGGGTCTTAAAAGCTTGTGAGTGGCCAATGAAGGTGCAATTATTGGTGTCTTTCAGTTCAGAGCAAAGAACAGTGAAGAAAACTGAGAACACAATCAAATAAACAAATTGGTTCAATGGACTAATGGACAATGTGAGTATCAGCTTCGATGCCTGTGAGACCAGAAGAACTAGACTAGTGGTGTCTGGCTACCACTGCTGACTGCTCTGGAAGGGATCACATTAGAATGTCCTAGATAGAGTAAAAGGAAAATATGAAACAAAACTCAAAATTATAATTAAGTCCAAGTTTACTAGTCTGATACAGATTGGTGGAATCTTCAAGACTATGGTCCTTAGTCACCTGTTAGGCCTGGAACTAAACTCACCCCTGTGGCCCAATGTTCAGTCAAACAAGAGTTCTACAAGGTGAACCACTAAACTAGGGAGGTATGCACTCCTTAGAACAATTATCCACTTAAAATCAAAAGGGCAGTATTTGACCACAAAGTTTAGAAGGCAGGAAGGATTAGGAATGAAAACTGGAAATATAGGGATGAAGTAAGCTAAGTGATATTATATTGTGAGGACTGCAATCAATTATATGAAACAAAATGTATATGAATTGTCAAATGGAAGACTAATTTGCTTTAAAACTCCTTAAGAGTTAAGGCAGTTTGTAAACCATAAAATGCATTCCATGATAACTGTCAAAATAATGGGAAAAAAATAACTTTCTTTTTCTATGATGTCCTTGTTTCTGTGGACTCAGATGTTGGTTCCTAAGGCTACCAAAGGGACTCACTTTGTGTCCTGGTACTTCTGTTCCTGGCACAGCTTTCATATGCAAATCAACTGCTCCCAGGTGTTTTACCATGTCAGTCTTGCCTGTTCTTGAATTTTCTTTTTTTGCTTTTGCTTCTTCTCTCTCTTGAGCCAATCTGAATCAAAGAAAACATAAATAAAAAGAAGTAAAGTAACCAATCAAACAAAATGGTTATTTCCCTTCAGGTGACCCTTAATGCTCACAATGAGAAATAGATGTAGTGTTTTAAACCCAAAATAAAACAAATTCATTTTCTTAGTAGTATAACAGTTCACACTTCTTTTCTGAACACACAACCACTAAACTTTCATTTTTGAATAATTAGAAAACAAAGAAATGTGAAGACACATCCTACTATTAAAATTAGATTTCTTTCAATTTAATTTTATAGGGAAATACACACATTTAGGAGTTCTGGTGTGGCACTGCAGCAATAGACTGCTAACCACAACCTTGGTGGTTCAAACCCACTAGCAACTCCTTGGAAATCATCTATAGGGTGATTATGAGTTGAGACTGATTTGACAGCTCTTAACAACAATATGTACACTAAAAAATAAACAGGATAATACTATGTGTACTACTGTATACCTTTATTTTCAACTAATCAGTTTGTTGCTGGGTGTCATCAAGTTGTTTCTGACTCACACAGAGCCCATGTACAACAGAACTCACTGTTGCTCAGTCCTTCATAATAGCATCTTTGCACACTACACTAAATTGCAGCCAGGATTAATTCACCTCTTTGAAGGTCATCCTCTTTTTTGCTGACCCTCTACTTTATCTTTTCAACATTCAGTAATTCACGGTATATTCAATATTCTTGTTGTTGTTGTTAAGTGCTGTCGAGTCGGTTCTGACCCATAGCGACCCTGTACAGGGCTTCTGAGAGTGTAAATCTTTACGGGAGTAGAAAGCCTCATCTTTCTCCCACGGAGCACGCTGGTAGTTTCGAACCGCTGACCTTAAGGTTCGCAGCCCGATTCGTAATTCTTAGCCAATACCAAATGCATCAAGTTTTCCTTTTTCATTGTTCAGCTTTTGCATGTAACTAAAAATGCCATGGTTTATGGAGGGCTAACGCTGAGAGTAAAGCTCTGTATACAGGGTTGATAGGGTTGGGCAACTGAGACATTGGCTATTCAAAACAGGTGTTCAACTCCCCTAGCCACTCCCTGGAAACCCTACATAGAATGACTATGATTAGGAACTGACTTTGTGATACTTAACAAAAATGAGTACATATGTAGGAAGAGATAATACCATGGGCCAAAACAAGGCCAGAGGCAGACTGTGGAACAAACCATGAGTTGCTCTTATGCAGTTCAGAAGAAAATTAAAACAAATCCATGAGAATCAAAATGACTTTGATATTTGCTTTGTTAAGTGCCATCAAGTAGGTTCCAACTCATATTGACCCTGTATAGGGTTTCAGAGGAGCAGCTGGTGAGCTTGAACCGCCAACCTTGCAGTTCCAACGGCTTTGCAGTCTCCATAAGAGACATAGAAGTATATTATATAATGATTAAAGGGTTAACTGAACAAGAGAACCATAATAAACATCTATGCTCCCAGTGATAAAGCCTCGAAATAAACTAATCAAGCTCTAATTGAACCGAAGAAAGAAACAGACAACTCTACAAGAATAGAAGATTTTAATATACCACTTTTGATGAGGAGTCCTGGTATAGTGCTGTGGGCTAATGTGCTGGACTGCAAAGTCGTTTGAACCACAATGTCGGTGGTTCAAGCTCACCAGCAGCTCCTTGGAAACCCTATACAGGGTCACTATGGGTTGGAAACGACTCAACAGCACTTAACAACAACAACAACAACAACTTTTGATGAAGTAGAGAACTAGAAACTCAAAGACACAGAAGAATTAAACAACAAAATTATCCAACTTGACTTCATAGACAAATACAGAGCACTCAACCCAATGATAGAACAATATGTATTCTTTTCCAGTGCACATGGAACACACTCCAGAATAGACCATAGGTTAGGTCACAATGCAAACCTTAATAAATTTTATACATCAAAATTCCCAAAGGATTTTATACATCAAAATACTCCAAAGAATTTCTCAGATCATACTACTATAAAATTAGAAGGAAACAGGAAGATCAATGAAAAAAAACCAAATACATGGAAATTTAATAACATCCTGCTGTAAAGCTATTTGGGTAACAGAAAAATAAAATACAAAATAAAAAAATTCCTTGAATCAAGTGATAATGAAAACAAAATACATCAAAATCTTTGAGACAAAGCAAAAGCCCTTGGAGGGTATTTTATAGTAAAATAAAGAACTCAAATCAACACTTTAACCAAACACCTCCAAAAATTAGAAAAAGAGCAGCAAAGTAAGTTTACAGTCACCAGAAGAAATGAAATAATAAAGGTTAGAGCAGAAATAAATGAAACGGAGAACAACAACAAAAAACCAGAAAGAACCAACAAGAAGCTGGCCCTCTGAAAGAATTAATAATATTGACAAACCACTGGTAAATCTAACAAAAGAAACGAGGGAGATGTTACAAATAACAGGCATAAGAAATATGGGTGACATCACAACAGTACCAAAATAAACAAAACAAGGATGATAACAGATTATAATTAAAAACTGTACTCTAACAAATATATAAATCTAGAAGTAGAACACATTTCAAAAACACACAACCTACCTAAATTAATACAGACTGAAGTAAAAATCTTAAATAGGACTATAACTAGAGAAGAAATTGATCAAGTCATTAAAAACTGCAAACAAAAAACGTCAGGGCCCAGATGGCTTGAGCAGTGAATTGCACTTAACATTTAGAGATAAGAAGACACCAATTCTACTCAAACTATTCCAGAATATAGAAAAGAATGGGAAACTCCTGAATTTATTTTATGAAGCAAGCATAACATTGATATTAAAATCAGGAAAAATACATCTAAAAAAGCAAACTATAGATCAATATCCCTCACTATTGAGTCCTCTGGTAGCATAATGGTTACAAGTCAGGCTGCTGACTTCAAGGTCGGCAGTTTGAAACTACCAGCCACTCTGCAGGAAAAGATGAGGCTTTCTGGCCCCATAAAGATTCATAGCCTTGGAAACCCTATACAGGGTCGCTATGAGTTGGAGTTGACTCCATGGCACACTACCGTCTGGTATGTCGCTGTAGGATAAGCACTGGACTAATAACTTCAAAGTTGGCAGTTCAAACCCACCAGTTGCTCCCAGAGACCCTATACAGGTTCACTATGAGTTGGAACTGACTTGATGGCACATAACAACAACATCCCTCACCAGAAAAGTGAATGAAAAAATGAGGACATTAAAGAGTTAAACAATTTCAAATAGCAGCTCAAGAAGACAAGGTCAAGTATTATCTGGAGTCAGAAAAGAAAAGGGGAAGAACATGTTCAGCAATTTCCTGCTTAAAGAACTGAAGACACAATTCTAGCCTTGATTAGCAAGCAATATTGTGGATTCCAAGGGCAAAGTGTTGAATGATGAAGAAAGCATCTAAAGAAAATGGAAAGGATGTAGAGTCACTGTACCACAAAGAAATATGAAATTGCTAAAACCTGGTAAATTTGTAAGCTTATCTATAGTGAGCCCTGATACAGCACAGTAAGAAAGTCAGCAGTTCAAACCCAGCAGTCACTCTTGGAAACCCTACACAGGGTTGCTATGAGCTGGAGTAAACTCAATGGCACACAACCACTACCACTAACACCCTTATAATAAGGAACCCTGGCTATGCAACGGTTAAGCACTCAATTGCTAACCAGAAGTTAATGGTTTGAATGCATCCATCAGTTCTGTAGGCAAAAATGATCTGGTGATCTGTTCCCATCAAGATTACAAGCATAGAATGGGGTCACTTAAGTCAAAAATCAATTTGACAGCAGCTAACAACACACTCGGAAGTCGGTGGTTCAAGCTCACGAACTGCTCCTTGGAAACCCTATACAGGGTCGGAATAGACTCAATGGCACTTAACAACAACAACACACTCATGAGGGAATGCTATTTCAACTGTCCAATTGAAGTTATTCCACTTAATTCAAGACTGGACAAACAGTATTAACCACACCTTGTTGGCCTCTTTGCCTCTAGCCTTTCTCTCTCTCTCTCTCTTTTTTTTTTTTTTTAAGTTTTTATTGTGAATTGAAGAAAATTTACAGGGCAGATCATCAGTTCTACATTCAACAAATCATATATTTTGTTTCATTACAATAGTTATAATCCCCTATGGAGGATTTCTCTCTAATCATTTTAGTTTTTTTTTAAACCTCAGGCATATATAATTTACACCAAAGGTTACATTCTATAAATTGGCCTCCTGGCCACCAGCTCTCAGTCCCTCTCTAGACTTTCTCTTATCTTTCATCTTCCAAAATGACCATCAAATGTGTGTAACCACTATGTTACCAGAGCTCAATTTTATATATACGTATACAAACAAATATATATATATATGTAATTACACATAGCTAACAGAATACCAAAAACCAAAAATAACCACTGGTATCGAACTGATGTCAACTCATAGCGATCCTATATAGGGTTTCCAGACTGCAAATCTTTATGAGATGACAGACTCATTTTTTTCTCTCAGAGTGGCTAGTGGATTTGCATTCCCAACCTTTCAGTCAACAGTCCAGTGCTTATCCTACTGTGCCATCCTGGCTCCTCACAAAAGTATGCATACACATATAATTATCTTTTTGAATTACAACTGAATTATCTTTCTTGGTAGGGTCTGTGGTATGGAAAGTTGACAGGGATTTTAGCTTTATTTACAATGTTTGAATTTGCTAAGACTATAATAGGGTATCATATGATAACATCAAATCAAATAAATGTGTAAAACCATTTACAGTATAAATAGGATTTAAATTCATGTACAACAAATCTTACCTGTGCAAAAAGCTTTCTTTTGCTTCCTGAATTTGTAGTGTCCCACCTTTCCATTTTGTTTTATTTAAAACAGACATACCTATAAAATAAGGAATCATTACTCAAGTATGTGGCAATGTAAACATGCTTCAGTATGTGCTTTCCCTAATTATTTTAACATCATGAGTTGTTTACCACAAAGGGACACAGAGAAAATACAACAGAGAAGAGAAAGTGAGACCCAGAGAGAGAAGACATAGGTTCATGACCCATCTTTACCAGATACAGGGTCCAAGACCTTCATCTACTCTCAGCAGAGCATGGAGCAAGGTCCTTGCCCACTGGATCTCAGGGCTACTAAGAAGTTTCAATGAGGCAAATATGTAAACGGTTTGTCATTTGATTATAAAGTAATGTTGGGAATCTGAAATTTATTTAATATTTCATATCCCATTATATGGGGAATGAAGTGGCTCCAAACAATAAGCACTGGAATGCAAATGATAAGGGCTGCATTTGGAGCCTGCCAGCCACTACCAGAGAGAAAAGTGATGCTTTCGGTTCCTGAGAAGATTTAAAAGATTTAAAATATAAAATAGGATTTCCTTGGAAATCCTACATAGGGTCACCATGAGTCGGAATCAACTCCATGGCACTTAACAACAAGTCCCATTTTGTAATTATGTGTTGGTCAGTGAATTACTTAATATGTTTCTTCTACCCACAGTCTTGAGAATAAAAAGATCAAAATGGATGTCAGAAGAGACTCTGAAACATGCTCTCTAGCATAAAGATGCTAAAGCAAATGTAAGAAATGAAGAGGTACAAGAGCTGAACAGAAAATTTCAAAGGTCTGCTAAAGAAGACAAATTCAAATATACAACAAAATGTGCAAAGATCTGGAGTTAGAAAACCAAAAGGGAAGAACACGCTCAGCATTACTCAAGCTAAGGGAAATGAATAAAAAAATTCAAGCCTCGACTTTCTTTATTGAAGGATTCTCTGGGCAAATTATTGAATGATGCAGAAAGCATCAAAAGAAGATGGAAGGAATACGCAGAGTCAATGTACAAAAAGGAAATGGTCTATGTTCAACCATTTCAAGAGGCAGCATATAATCAAGAGCCAATGATAATGAAGGAAAAAGTACAAGGCGCATTGAAGGCATTGGCAAAGAACAAGGTTACTGGGAATTGATGGCATACAAGAAAGTGAGGTGGCACTGGAGGCACTCATCTATGCCAAGAAACTTGGAAAACAACTATCTGGTCAAATTATTGGAAGAGATCCAAATCTGTGCCCATTCCAAAAAGAGGTGACCCAACGGAACACAGAAAACATTGGACATTAATATCCCATAGGAGTAAAGTTTTACAAAAGGTAATACAGAAATGGCTGCAATCATATATTAACAGAGAACTTCCAGAGGTTCAAACCAAGTTCAGAAGAGGACGTGGAATGAGGGATATCATTGCTGACATCAGATGGATCTTAGCTGAAAGCAGAGAATATCAGAAAGATGTTTATCTGTGCTTTATTGAGCACACAAAGGCTTTCGAGTGTGTGGATCTTGACAAGCGATGGACAACATTGAGAAGCATGAATATTCTGGAACACATATTTGTGCTCATGAGGAACCTGTACATAGACCAAGTGGCAGTTGTTCAAACAGAACATGGGAACACTGAATGGTGTAAAATTAGGAAAGATGTGTGACAGGGTTGTATTCTTTCACCATACTTATTCAACCTGTAAACTGAGCAAATAATCCAAGAAGCTGGGTTATATGAAGAAAAATGTGGCATCAGAATTGGAGGAAGACTCATTAACAACCTGTGATATGCAGATGATAAAACCTTGCTTGCTGAAAGTGAAGAGGACTTAAAATATTTACTGATGAAGATCAAAGACAATAGCTTTTGGTATTGATTGCATCTCAAGGTAAAGAAAACAAAAATCCTCACCACTGGACCAATCAGCAACAATGGAGAAAAGATTGAAGTTGTCATTCTTCTTGGATCAACCATCAACACTCATGGAAGCAGGAGTCAAGAAATCAAACAACGTACTGTATTAGGCAAATCTGTTGCACAAGACCTTTTTAAAGTGTTGAAGAGCAAAGATGTCAGCTTGAGGACTAAGGTGCGCCTGACCCAAGCCATGGTATTTTCAATAATCTCATATGCATGTGAAAGTTGGACAGTGAATAAAGAAGACTGTAGAAGACTGATGCATTTGAGTTACGGTGTTGTAGGAAAATACTGAAAAGTACCATGAGCTGCCAAAAGAACAAACACATCTATGTTGGATGAAGTACAGCGTGAGTGTTTCTTGGAGGCCAGGATGGCCAGACTTTGTCTCTCATACTTCAGACAGATTGCCAGGAGGGGCCAGTCACTGGAAAGGGATATCATGATTGGTAAGGTGCGGGGGTTGGGGTGGTGTCAGAGAAACAGAGGAAGACCCCTAGCGAGATGGATTTGCAAAGTGGCAGCATCATTGGGGTCAAGTGTGGCAACAATTGTGAGGTTAGCCCAGGACCAGGCAGTGTTTAATTCTGTTGTGCATAGGGTCGCTATGAGTCGCTGCCAACTCAATGGCACCTAACAACAACAATAACACCCACAGTCTTTGTAACTCCCACTAAACAGCTTTTTTCCTGATGGGTCTGGGCAAGCACAAGTGGGAGATGGTGTTGATAGGATTATGATTCAGTTGTACGTGATTGTTAAAAGGTTAATTGTGATCGTAAAAACTTGAACTCTAATGTGGGTACAAATAAGCCATCTCAGGAGCAGAAAGTGGTGGATTTCATCATCATCAAGAAAGAAGAGCCAGAAGTAGAGCACATCCTTTGTACTCCAAGATTCCTGTGCACTGAAACTCCCTGATCCAGGAAATCAAAGTGGGGTGCCCTTTGGGCATTTATCACCAATTCTAAAAGAATTCTGTAACATTGTTGGATGGAACACTGCCTTATGGCAGAGACCAGGACAAGGACCACAAAGAAGCCTATTTGTGGGCAAGACAGTGAGGCAGTGCTGACCAAAGAGCGGTTTCCTGAACATTTCTGAATCCAAATTTTAATTTGTGTAACTTGCCTAGTAAACCCACAGTCATGAATATGGTCTATAAGTTTTGCAAGGCCACTGCAATTAATTTTCATACCTAGCAGAGTATAGAGAAGGCCTTGGGAAGGATGATTGGCTTCCAAATTATTGAGGAAGGTTGGATAGAGGGTGGTGGCATGTCTGACCTCAGCCTCACAGGAATTGGCCTTAGGTTATGCTGAAGGTGATGCTCCTTCCCTATCCTTTGAGGCAGTCCGAGGATGCTGAATCCACACTGTTTTTTATGGTATCAAATATAAATGGAATTTTTTTAATGGTAAATCAGACAGCCCTCTGGAATATTTAATCTTTCCTTTTAATATTCACCTCACACCAATGATTACTGTACCCCTGCAAATGAATTAACTACAAGTAACTGAACTGTGGTTGAATAGCTGTGCCCTAGCAGTTGAATGTTCTAATATTTGCTATCATTCTACTAACATATGTTAGTAGAGTGTATTTTTTATGCACTAAGTCCTGGTGTGGCACTGTAGGATAAGCACTGGACTGCAAGATTGGTTTGAACCACAAGGTTGACAGTTCAAACTCACCAGATTCCTTGGAAACACTACACAGGGTCGCTATGAATTAGAACCGACTTGACAGCACTTAACAACAACTATGCGAAATACAAATATATAATTTAATTTAATCTTCAGTTACGATGCAAGAGTTACCATTATCATCATTCATCAGATAAGCAAACTGGACTCAGAAATTTGAATAATTTGCCACAGGTCACCCAGCATAGGCGATGCATTTCTAATCAGAACCTTATATTTGCTACATATATTTCGTTATCTGAGCAACAGAACAAAGCAATGTTTTGGCAAATCAAACATCAAAGGTTGGTGATACCTCTTCTCTTTATACACTTCTTCACTGTCCTTTGACTTTCAACCTCAAAATAATTATGATACATTACTGCACTGGTGGCAGTAAGGATTCTTCCATCTTTACTGCAGGCCACCTTTTACCCTAAGCTGTACTAACTTTATTGGTAGATACTTCACAATTTCAAGAAATTAGTATGGTATTTTAAAAATGTATTTAAACATGTATTTTAAAGCCCTCAGGCACTCATGAGTCGGAACTGACTCCATGGTACGTAACAATAACAAACATTAGGACTCCTAGTGTAGCGCTGTAGGATTGGCATAGGACTGTTAACCACAAGGTAGGCAGTTCAAACCCATCAGCTGCTCCTTGAAAACCCTACACAGCAAGGTGGGGAATGTTTGTCCCGTGGGCCATATAATATAAACCCATGAAATTATGAAAAGGCAACCGGGGAAGGACTCAAAATTCAATAAATCTATGAGCTTTTTCATAGCAGCATAAGTGGTGTTATAAATACCCAAATGGCCCTTGGCAGAAAAAAGGTTCCCACCCCTGCTATACAGGGTCACTATGAGTCAGAATCAACTGAAGGGCACTTAACAACAAGAAGCAGCATTTAATGACAAAGATTAGCTGCCCAAGAAATGAGGACATGAGAGAGGAGGAAATTTAGTGCCTGTCTGAAGTACCTGAGAATACTAGTCTTTAAGGAAGCACACTTCTTTCTATATTTTTAGTATTTTAATATCTTTGTACCATCATTTCTTTTAAGAGGAGCAACTTAGCGCTTTATGTTGTTGGAACTTCTGGTGTGGTCCAGTAGGATAAAACACTGGACTGTTAACTGCAAGATTGGCGGTTCAAACCCACCACCTGCTCTTTGAAAACCATATTGGTTGGTTATATGCCGTGGAGTCGGTTCCAACTCATAGCGACCCTGCACAGGGTTTCCAAGGTGGTAAATCTTTATGGGAACTGGAATAAGTTGGAACAAACTTGAGGGCACTTAACAACACAATAACAAGCTCTACTACCATAGCTAAAGACAAATGGCTGGACCTAAATCTGTTGAATTGTAGGATATCAAAATATTCTTGATCATGAATGCTTTAAAAGTGGCTGCTGAAATTTAGATTTACAACCAAAGTTATTCCAAGTTACACAAAGATATCTACAGGCAAATATTAGAGAAAACATGACAATCTTACATTTCTTCAGGTCTGCTTCTGTAACCGTAATGTTGATATATGCAAAGATTTTCTGTGGGTTTCCTAAAAAGAGAATAAATAGATTTAAACTCATATCCAAAGAACAATATAAAAATTAATCTACAAAAAAAAAAAAAAAATCTCTTGGAAATTTAGTTTCAAAGAAAAGTCTTATTTATTTTGACTGAATATAAAGACTACATTTTTCTAAGCATGAACATAAAAATATTCCAAAATGCAGTAAATAAGGAAAACATATCAAGCAGTCATTTAAGCACTAGGTAGTCATTAGTTTGTGGTAGTCTACGCAGCAGGGCATTAATCAGTCAATGTGAGAATGCTATTTCTGAAAACACAGCTATGTGTTTCAGAAATCAGATATTTTGGAATTTTTCTGATCTTATTAATGTAATTTTGGGTAAGTTCCACATCATACACTACACCTCCTGTAGCAGGTGTGGGAGTGCCGGTGTGAAGGCAGGAGTGTGGAATATCTTATAACTAAATACATATCACTTACTGTTTTCATAGGTAGCATTCATATCTGTGATTCCTTTATTTTGTGATTCTTGTTATATGATACTCGTAAGGTGATACTCAGGGAGCTCTGGTAGCATAGTGGTTACAAGTCGGGCTGCCAACCTCAAGGTCGGCAGTTCGAAACTAGCAGCTGTTCCGTGGGAGAAAGATGATGTGTTCTGCTCCTGTAAAGACTTACAGCCTTGGAAACCCTGTGCAGGGTCACTATGAGTCGGAACCCACTCCACAGCACTTACCAACAACAACATGGTGATACTTGAACTTGTTATTTCTGCCTTTGACTACTTACTTACTCAATGTAGGACTGACTATCAATTTACCTTCGTCATCTTTCCGCGTGATGATCTCCACATCAGAAACTTCTCCAAATCTGCTGAACTGATTTTTTAGGTCAGTTTGGGAAATAGTTTGGCTAAGTCCACCCACATACAGGCGCTTCATTTTTCTGTTGGCTTTCATGCATCTGCGTCGAAGTGAGAAAAATACTTTCTGTTGGTTGAGAGAAGAGTTCTTTAACAAAAAAGCAAATCCTTCTTGTGAACTTTTTATGACAATTTAGTTCCCTGGACATGTTTCACATCCTATTGTACTGCTCCCAAATTTTATCCCTGGAGATTCTGCTCAAGTCCTATATCCAGTTCTTATTGAACGTACTTTTGAACAGCACCTCCACACATATACATACAGAAGTAGATATTTTCCCTCCAAATGACCACAATATTATACTCCATCCCTCATTTATTTACGTTAAATATTTTACCTTTATTCATTTTTACATTCACTTTAACAAACAGTGACAGAAATAGCATTGGGCATATAATATACTAAAAAATACAAAACAGGTCTCTATCCTGGAGCTCCTCATAAAAGTCAACAAATGCTGTAAAATGAAAATATCATGTCATAATAGAAGCGTCTACAAAATACTGTTGAGTTCTAAAGAGCAACTAATAGTTACAGCTAGAGTCCTGGAGTGGCATTGTAGGATAAATACTGGACTGGTAACTGCGAGCCTGGCGATTCAAAATAACCAACCACTCCTTGAAAACCCCATGGTTGCTATGAGTTGGAACTGATTTGATGGCACTTGCGTAGTGGTTACGAATCGGGCTGTGAACTGCAAGGTTAGCAGTTCGTAACTACCAGCTGTTCCGCGGGAGAAAGATGAAGCTTTCTGCTCTCATAAAGACTTACAACCTCGGAAACATTGTATAGGGTCAATATGAGTCAGAACCGACTCCAGGGCACATAACAACAACAAAAATAAACATTAGTACAGTTGCAATGCTCCTTGTACAGAGGGCAGCTGAATTGTCTCCCTACTTTGGACATGGAAGGAGCTCTGGTAGCATAGTAGTTATGACTTGGACTGCAAACCACAAGGTCAGCAGTTTGAAACTACCAGCTGTTCCACGGGAGAAAGATGAGGCTTTTTATTTACAGCCTCAGAAACCCTGTACAGGGTCGCTATGAGTCGGAACCAACTCCACAGCACATAACTACCCCACTTTGGACATATCTAGAGCAACCAGTCTCTGGAGGATATTATAGTTGGTAACGAAGAGGGTCAGGGAAAAAGTGGAAAACCCTCAATGACGTAAACTGGTTCAGTGGCTACAACAATGGGTTCAAATCCAGCACTAATTTGCCAGGATGGTGCAGGATTTGGTAGGGTTTTGTTCTGTTGTATAAGGGGTCATTTTGAGTTGGAACTGACCTGGTGGCACCTAATAATACAGATTTTTTAATAAGTGCCAGCACTGTTTTGCAGGGATCCTCTCATTGAATCCACTTATTAACATACGATTCATATTCAGTTTTCAGATTAGCAAATTGATGAGTGGGGATCAAATTTCTTTCTGGATGCCACCCAGTGTTGGAGCCACCAGTATTATGTTGTTGTTAAGTACCATCCAGTCGATTCTGACCCATACCGACCCTGTATAGGGTTTCCAAGGAGCAGCTAGCGAGCTTTAACCACAGACCTTGCAGTTCAAACGACTTTGCAGTCTGATGCATTAGCCCACAGGGCCAAACCAGTATTATAACTCAGGTATAATCTCAGAACCCAACATTTTTAACAATATTCTACACTGCATTAGGAGTTCTGGTGTGGCACTGCAGGATAAGCGATAGCCTGCTAGCTCTCGCAGGTGGTAGTTCAAACCCATCAGAAACCCTACATAAAGCTATGAGTCGGAATCGACTTGGCAGGACTAACACCAACACCAGGCCATGGAAATTGTTGGATTAGAGGTATTGAGATTTGAAGTCTCTCAGGAGATTCCTCATCCCGTTTGGAATGCAGCATGCACTCAGCTCACACTCCGCCCTTCCGTAGGAGCTGACAGCTCGTTCTAAGGGATACAATAAATCGGCGCCCCGTAGTCCAAAGCATGGTTTGGGTTCTGGTAGCCGCCTCTCCAACCACAATTTATTAAATCCAGCTTTCTTCCTCAGATAAGACCCAAAGCATAAAAGGGAGAGGTTACACCGAAAGGCTCTATCACTTCCTATGCCCCAAATCCACTCCGTACTAGACCTTATCTTCCAACCTGCGCGGCTCGGAGATCTAGCTTCTAGTCACATGGCCCAGCAGGAGCATTCTGCCTTCTTTCCGACCCGACTTTCAAACCAGCCTCTTAAGGTTCCCACTTTACGCTCCATTCCAGAAGGCGCTTTATTTAGTTTCTCGTTCTTAGCTGCCGCTATGCCTCAGCCATTTTCTCCGAAAAAAGAGCTCAAACCAAAACGTACTAATTCCCGAAAATGTACGTTACCGCCTTGATACTCTCGACTCCAGAATTTGGTCGGTGGAAGTGCAGGAATGAAGTTGAGCCGCTTACCCTCACGTGGTGTACATCTTCCGGTTTATTGACGTAAGTGCCGGGTTCTTTTAAGGCGCCTCCAGCGAGGGGTCAGCGGTGACACCCTTAGCTTTGGGGTTGGACTGAATGGCTCTTCTGAAACTTTAGGGACTATTTGGAGACAGCTGTGGCTCTGTGCTAAGAACGTAAACTTCCGTGGAATGTTGCGTGAGTTTGGGGTTGCGTATTGTGGACGTGAGCTTCCACGCTCCTCCCCCCTCAGCTCAGAAAATGGTCCACGCTAGGAGAGCGCGCGAGTCTTAAAGGTTGGAGTCTGTCGGGACCTGACTGGATCTGATTGTTGTCACTGCTGCCCCATGGCTGTCGAGCTGTCTGAGCTTCTCGACCTGGAAGCCGAAATCGCAACCCTAAGGCGGGCGTGTGAGGAGCCAACGGCGCCATTGAAAGAGACCTCTGGAACCAGGTACGTGGGCACATTTCCAGGCCCTCCCCTTTGCTCCCTTGCATGTCCCACCGGCACCTCCGTTGGGTCCAGGGTGCTGAGTGAGGGCACCCCTCCTTTTCCCTTTAGGCAATTAATACTTCTCTACAGAGGTTCCTGGGAGCTCTGGTAACGTAGTGGTTACGAATTGGGCTGCGAACCTTAAGAGCTGCAGTTTGAAACTACCAGCTGTTCCGCGGGAGAAAGATGACGCTTTCTACTCCAGGGCACATAACAACAGCAACAGAAGTTCTTGAAGTACTCAACTCAGACTCGACATTGTGTTGACAATTGTAGCATTGTTGATGTTAAGTGCCGTCGACTTGATTCCAACCAATAGCGACCATGTTAGGGTTTTGGAGGAGCAGCTGGTGAGCTTGAACCGCCGACTTTGATATTCAAATGGCTTTGCAGTCTGGCGCATTAACCCACAGTGCCACACCAGGACTCCGTAGGGTGCGCCAAAATATGGTCTTAAAATAATGTCGACTCTTGGTATGGCACTACTTGCTGGATTGCAAGGTCGGTTTGAACAGCAAGATTGGCTATTGCACTTAACAACATTAAAAGAAACCGGTCCTACAGCACCACATTGTTGTTGTTGTTGTTAAGTGCCGTCGAGTCGGTTCCGACCCATAGCGACCCTGTACAGGGTTTCCGAGGGTGTAAATCTTTACGGGAGTAGAAAGCCTCATCTTTCTCCCGCGGAGCAGCTGGTAGTTTCGAACCGCTGACATTAAGGTTCGCAGCACCACATTAGGAATCAAAAAAGCCAAGACAATAGTAAAATTAATCTATTGGTGGTTGCTTGTTGTGGAGTCGGTTCTGACTCATAGCAACCCTATATAGGGTTTCCGAGGCTGTAAATCTTTACCGGAGCAGAAAACCTCATCTTCCTCCCGTGGAACCGCTGGTAGTTTCAAACTTCTGACCATGAGATTAGCAACCCTACTTGTAACCACTATGCTACCAGAGCTCCTAAAAATTAGTCTATTACTTGGGGTTTATCCGGCAGAGGATTTGTGAAATGAGTAGCACTAAACTAGGTGTATCAGTAGTGACTGGCATTTTATTGGCAAAACATACAGAAGCAAAGAAGCTTATTTCTGATTGGCTTATACAGTTCATCTGAACAGTGCCTGAACGATGAATCAGAATTGATTTGCAAAGGCTATCGGTCGATCAGGATGTCCTGAAAAGTTGTTATGTGCAGTGAACCCAAGGATCCCCTATACGGTTTCTGAGAAGCACCTGGTGGATTTGAACCATTGACCTGTGGTTAGCAGTACAGTGCTTATCATGCAGTCAGAAAAGTATGGCTCCTCAGAAACCCCATAGAGGCTTGCTAGAGTCTGAATAGACTCTTAAGGCACTTACCAACAAGGCTAATTTTTGGTAAAGGCCAACTCATAGGGGAGCTTTCCATGTAACGAGGACTCCATTTGGTCAACCACATGACTCCATTTTTATTTAATTTAACAAAAGGAATTAAATTTAATCACAGTAGTGAGAAAGATGTTTTTCTTTCCAATTCTCTTACTTTTGCTTTGAATTCAAGGATAAAACCTTGTATATCTCCCTAATTAATCTAGTTTTCAGTGGGCAGCAGTATCTAGTTAGGATTTAATACCTTTGGTTTCTTTGTGTTTACTTTATGGTGTGTTAGAAACAGTAAACACTTAAGGGAATTTGAACATAAGGTTTATTCTGAGCGGTTTTCTATATGCATGTAGGGAGGTCATTATCAGTCCATAAAAATCAAATTGCTAGAAGAAGTTACATATAATGGGGCTTATAACGAGATGGCAGTGTTTCGTTATGCTATGCATAAGGTCACTATGAGTCGATACCGACTCAGTGACACCTAACCACAACAACATAACGAGATAGTGTTCTGGTACTGTGGGCTAATTAGTCAGACTGCAAAGTCGTATGAACTGCAAGGTTGGTGGTACAAGCTCACCAGCTGCTCCTTGGAAACCCTATAGAGGGTCGGAATCGACTTGACAGCACTTAACAACAACAACAACAACCAAATAAGGAGATGGTGGGAGCCACAGTGGCTGCATACGATAACCACTGGACTGCGAACTACAAGGTCCATGGTTCACTATGAGTCAGAACCCACTCGGGGACACTTAACATCATAAAGAGATGGTGGTGGTGGAGGTAAGTGTGCCATTTACTTGTTCTGACTCATACCAACCCTGTGGTGGTGGTGTGCTGCAAAATTGGTTCCCACTGTTGGAGACCCTGCAGGGTTTCAGAAGCTGTAAATATTTATGGGAGCAGAAAGCTTCATCTTTCTCTTAGCTGAGCAACTGGTGATCTGAATTACTGGCCTTGTGGTTAGCAGCCCTGCTCATAATTCACTAAGCTATCAGGGCTTCTAGTTAGGTTTAAAGAGATTGTTGTTGAGTGCCCGCTAGTCGGTTTAGACTCAAAGCAACCCTGTATAGGGTTTCCAAGGCTTTAAATCTTCACTGGAACAGAAAGCCGACTTGAATCTCAGAACTTGTGGTTCACAGTCCAGTGTTTATTGTATGGAGCCGCCGCACTCTATAAAGAGATGAGGAGGGAGAACTATAGAAGATCAACCACTGGCTAATTATGTTTTTCTTTATTGTGATTTAAGTGAAGCTTTACAGACTTCAACAAGTCATACACCTTGTTTCATCTCAATGATTGCAATCCCCTCCATGCAACAACAGTTATCCAACTTCCTCTTTGTGGTTCCTATTTCCATTCTACCCTCCTCCCCATCCAGTCTCAACTTAGTACTTAGGTATGTTGTCCTTTTGATCTCCCAGATTGACCGTTCCACAGTGAACATACCTTATAAGAGTTTTTGTGTGCCCTATCTACTGTTTGGTGAAAATTGGGCTAAGATGGTAAGTTCTGTTCCAGACCTGAAGGGCCATTGCCTCGGATTTCTCCTGTCTTTTTCTTGCCAGTAAGCTTGATCTGTTTTTTATAATTTTGAGTTTTGTTCTACATTTTCTGCCACTCTATTTAGGACCCTCTAATGTGATCCCTTTCAGAACAGTTGGTAGTGGTAGCTGGGCACCATCTAGTTCTAGTTTCAGAGTTGTGGTAGCTGAGGCTCATCTTCTCTATTGGACTAGTTGATTCTAAGCATCTTCAATTCTCATAATTCTTTCTTCTGTACATGGTGAGACCAGTAGATGCTACTAACCAAAGTAGGATGTGTAGAACATTATCATTTTATTCCTAGTGTTACATATTACGTTCCCTATAACCCAGATTTGAAGATAAACACTGCACCGCAAACCACAAGGTCAGCAGTTTGAGCCCACCAACTACTCCTTGGGAGAAAGATGAGGCTCTGCTCCCACAAAGATTTGCAGCCTCAGAAACCCTACACATGGTTGCTATAAGTTGTAACTGACATGATCACACTTAACTGCTAACTCGTGAATTACTCTCCCTTCCTTCCCATGCCTGATAGCCATCAAAGAATATTTCTTTTAGTATGAAAAAGATCTTTTTTTACTTTTTTACAATAGTAGTCTCATCATATTTCACTCAGCATAATGTCTCCATCTTAACTGAGAGTTTTCAGTTATAATCCATGGGGAAAAAAACAAAATAGTTTCCCCCAAATACTGTGTGGCCACAATATCAATTTGGTTGTTTGTTGTTGTTGTTAGGTGCCATCGAGTCGGTACTGACCCATAGTGACCTTATGCACAGCAGAACGAAACACTGCCTAATCCTGGGCCAACCTCACTACTGTTGCCATGCTTGAGTCCATCGATGCTGCCAGTTGGCCAATCCATCTTGCTGGGGGTCTTCCTCTTTTTCTCTGACCCTCCATCTTACCAAACATGATATCCTTCTCCAGCAACTGGTCCCTCCTGTCAATATGTCCGAAGTATGAGAGACGAAGTTTGGCCATCCTCCAAGGAGCACTCTGGCTGCACGAATCTATTGGTTCTTTTGGCAGCCCATGCACTCTCAATATTCCAACACCATAACTCAAAAGCATCAATTCTTCTACCGTCTTCCTTATTCACTCTCCAGCTTCCGCGTGCATATGAGGTTATTGAAAATACCAAGGCTTGGGTCAGGTGCACCTTAGTTCTCAAGCTGACATCTTTGCTCGTCAACACTTTAAAAAGGTCTTCTGCAGCAGTTAGTAATATCAAAAAGTTAGCATATTCAAAAAGTAACTGGGCAGACTGTGGCAAAGCAAGAGCCTTGGAGATACCACTGCTGCCAGCATAGCTGGAGACTGGAGCCGATCCTGGGGGCTGTCCTCAGGCCCTGCACTCTCCCAGTGAGTCAAAGAAGTCTTGTTGTATCAGAGTAAGATGGACAGTAGCTTTGATTGTGATTGTGGTAAGCTGGAGCCACCTGATCACTAACAAAAGACATCTGTTAACCAATAGCAGCCAGGGCTTGCTGTTGAACTATGTAGCAACAAAGGAAGAAAGAAGCGAAACAGAAAGAGTGCTCACCAGCACCTTAGACAGATGCTGCTCAGGACCAGTCCAACATTGAGTGTATCTGCACTGTGAGGAGAATGTTCATAGAAGCCTGTTGTGTGCATATTTAGTCATGTTTTTGTTAAATTGTTTAGCACAGTAAATCTGTGTGCATAGTATGTCATTTTATTCTGTTTGAGTTTCTTGAGTGTTTTCTTTAAATGTCTGCAGAATTGCTGCCCCATTCGTGAACTATGAGTACTGCAATCTTTTTAATTCTCAATATGAGTAGAGCTTTTTGAGCTGTAAATCTAAGGGGAACTCAATGGGCCTGGTTGGCATATGCAATGAACATCAAGAAACCATCTTTGTGTGGAAGCAAAATGATTTTTCTTCTCCCTTTTTGAAAGATCTTTCCTTTTGATGCTGGTCTTCCTTGTTTACACAAGCTCAACGGTTCAAAAGGAAAAAGCGGCAATAGTAAGGTTTTCAAAATGGCTGAGAAGTTTGAAAGTCTCATGCACATTCATGGTT